CATGGCGCTGAGTAAAGTGACCCAGATGTGCGTGAAGGTCGCCTCATGAAATGCGGAGTGAAGTAGACGCCGTCGCGACCTTGACACGCCAATACCACGCACGCGCACGCTCGCCGCTGCGACCACCGCACCGCGCATTCGGTATTTCGTGCACTGGGCGATGACTCGATAGCCGAGAGGAAGCGAAGGGGAGAAACTGATCTATGTTCTCCGCCGCGAGTCCGTCGCTGGGCGTCAGAGGTTTCATTTGGCGAGAAAGGCGACGCGCCCTCCGCCTAATGACGGCGGAGACCGATGGCCAAGCGCGCCCAGATTCACGGCTGCCTTGGCGGCTTCACTGCCCGGGGGATACTTGCTCGGCATCCCCCTTCTCTCGGGGATTGCGGCGGCCCGGTAACGCCGCTACCGAGTCCCATTCGTCCCCTTTCTCCCCTTGACCCTTTCTTTTGTCCTGGCTTCTGCGCAGCTGCTCGTCGCGACCGACAGTGGGAATGGCGGAGCGGTAACTTGGTACGGGAAGTGCGTCAAACCTCGCCGTAATGACCTGTGGAATAGGTGCCACAGATTCATTTTTTTTCTACCTTATTACCCTTCATTTCTCTCTCCATTCTTTCAGATAAGAGAAAACGAGATCGTAGTCGAAGGAAATTTCGGCGAATGTCTAGCGTTTGGGTTGCCTCGACGTACGCCCACCACATCCTGCATCCTGTGGCATTTACAGGTTATGCTTTAATAAAAAAAGAAAACAAAACGAGAAAAAATGACCGAAATTTTGTTATGCAGCAAGAACCGAACGTCTACGAAACTGTACTTATTGCTTGTCATGGCGCGAATGCGCGCTCTGTGCTTTACGTGCTGTAGTAACGCCCGATAAGGCGATGACCACTGCCGTCTAAAAGAGACATACTCAAAATGCGCGAATGAAACAACTGCAACTATGCCGTACAGGAATGCTTTGACATGGTTTTTCATAATATAAGCGGTACTACAACATAAAAAACATCTAAAAGGGTAGTGGAATATGAAATCGATACACTGATATGTTATTGTGGCTTTAGTATAGTTTTGTCATTACGGGTGCTCTTCGCTCATACCCATAACTGAAAGGCTATGTATGCATGTATGTATATATGTATGTATGCGTGCGTGTGTGTGTGCGTGTGTGCGCGTATGTATGTATGTATGTATGTATGTATGTATGTATGTATGTATGTATGTATGTATGTATGTATGTATGTATGTATGTATTATGTTGTATGTATGTATGTATGTATGTATGTATGTATGTATGTATGTATGTATGTATGTATGTATGTATGTATGTATGTATGTATGTATGTATGTATGTATGTATGTATGTATGTATGTATGTATGTATGTATGTATGTATGTATGTATGTATGTGCAAAGAAACACTGGAAATCACGCAGTATAACGAACGAAAGAGAGTCGGACGCCGACGTACGCCATTAAAATTTAGCAGTTGAGGTGAGGAGCGTGTTCCATACCAGGGCTGCCACATTTTCCATAAAGGCGCAGTGCTAAACACCCATATTTGTCAGCTATAGGTGCGTGGTAAGGAACCTCCGGTCGTGAAAGTTAATTAGCAGGCCCATGGCATATGTACATGTCAGGTCTTTGGCACGTTAAACTCCAAAAATATATTTGTCAATAATTAACCTGTACTTTTGCTTAGTGTGATTGGATTCAACTTGAAGACATTGAGGTCGGCAAAGTTCCGGAGGTTACACAGTGCATTGTGTCATGGCTTCTCACTTTGACCGTGAAAGCTGTTATGAAATCATGACTCGTGTCACGCGTGGCGCCGTAGTTGTCCGCCACTGCCACCTCCGGTGTCCGTTACCATTATCGCAGAAATAAGGAAAAAAAAACTTTATATTAAGGACACAGTGAGGGGCCGAACACGGGTCTGCTGCGTGCCAGCCCAACATTCTACCACTGAGCCACACCGGTGTTTGGGACTTCTTCGCAAACTCGGCTTAGGCAGGCTTGTTGTCGGGAAAGGAATCACATTGCTAGGAGTAACAAAGTGTCTTAGAACAGCAAAATAACATACAGTCGTCACACAATGCGAATAGCGTAACGAGTGGGTCGAGCAATGCTTCAACTCACTACAAAAGCTTGTTCTTGATCACCTATTAACTGTGGCGCATACCCACATCAGACATAATTCCTCATCGTCGTCGGCCACTGCATATATAATTGGCGCTAAATTTCTTGCAAATGTTTAGCGGATACCATGCTTCTCATTAGAATTACGAAGGATAGCAGAGCGAATGCCGGCCTTATGCTCTGAAATTATTAATAATGTTGTAGTGGCTACCCAACAAGTGTGCTTGCGGCTGTTACCCAATGAGTGTTCAGAAAAGGCTCTGAAAGGCTGCTCTCCTAGCATTCGCTGTGACTGTACTTCGCCTTCCGTACAGGCCTGGTGTTTGTTGTGCGTGCATTTACGAAAGTCAAAATGGCATATATTTCAAATCTGTATGTCCGAATCTGAAACACGAAACCCGGTGATTATCGCTGTAAGTTACGATCGGTTAATTCTGACATATTTAACAAACCTTAATTCTCTGTTGATATTACAAAAGCGTGCTATACGTGCTATATCTAACACTCCCCTTTACGAAAGTGCTCGACCATATTTTAAAATGTACAAAGTATTGCCTATAAAACTGTTATACAGACATAAGCTATGTCTAGAGATATTACACCAGTATAAACTAAATACATCACTATTCTTGGACACATATTATGTGAAACAAACACCATACGAGCTGAGAAAGAGCCTAATATACAAATATTGATCACGCACGAACTACTGTGACCAACGATTAGCGTCACAAATTCCAAACATTCAAAACAAACACCGAACTATATTACACTTACTGGAAGACGGAATTTCAGCTAGATCATTTAAAAAAAATAACGAAAGAGTTTCTAGTGGATGAAAGCGATGCTTTTCGTGATTTTTGAAATTTGTAGTTAATGATGTTTTTGTATTCGTTGCACCTTGTTCATTATTGTCCCTTTGCCTGTTGTTTATTATACTCTAATTTGTCTTGTAGAGCAACTCCTTTCCTAGTCAAGATGTCTCTTGTTAATTTATTTTATAGGAAACATGCATTTTGTTTGTATTTGCCACCACTTGAATAAGGACTGTTTATATTTCTATTCCTTTATTCACACTTCTGGCAGTTCTTGTTCGACTATGGTACCCGTGTAAGATAACACGTGATGTTGTAATTTTCTGCGTACTGTGCTTGCGGTATGTTTCTGCTTTGCTGCCAGGGTGGCACGACCAAATGAGGCATTTACTTAGCCTTTAGTCCTGTCCCCCAAGGCAATCTTGTTCAATTTTGCCTTAAATAAAGCAAAGCAAACCAAAGCAGACCAAATATCTTCTGCCGTAAATTTTCACCGTGATGTACGCACGTGTGCCGTCACATTGTGCACACTGGGACACAATGTGGCCATATTTAAGGAGCCCTGCGAAAATTTTCGAACGTCAGAAAACACTGCCATCGATTGGCAGTCGAGGCTCCTGTGAACATGTGAGCCACATATTACAACTCAGCACGCGGCAACTAATTTACAGTTACTTTTAAAAGGGAGGTACAAAGCACTCACTCTACTCACGGCAAATTGTGCGATATACGCACCCGACTGCGTCATAGGCACCGAATATGGCTCTCTCGAAATCAGTCGGGTCGACGCCAAAGAAAAAAGGAAAACGGCGTGCTTTAATTGCGAGGCCTCTTGTTAAAAAAGAAATTCACCACTAAAACGCTCATGGGGATCGAATAAAAAATCTAGCTATTAGTATTATACTGACGTAATAATGTAAAGCCCCTCGCTTACGGCTGCGAAACAGCACCACTTCTGACTCTTTTGTCCGCCTCCCACGCAGTTCCGCTAAAGCTGAAGAATAAAATAATGGTCATGACAGACCATACAGTTACTGGCTTGCTCTTGTTGTTCTTGCTTTTGTTTCGTTTTATAGCGAAAGTTGTTATGAGATCAAAACACGGGTCACACGCGGCACCATAGTTGTCCGCCGCTGCCACCTCCGCTGTCCGTAACCAGTATCGCGAGAAATAAAAAAAACTAAATAAAAACACCAAAAACACAATGGGATTTGAACTCGGGTGCGCTGCATGCCAGCCTAGTATTCCACCTCTAAGCCACCCCGGTGCTAAAACCTCGTTTCTAAACTGGCATTAGGGAGGCTTGATGTCTGGGAAAGAATCTCATTAATATGAGTAATAAAGTGTTTCAGAACATCAAAGGAACAACCAGACGTCACAAAATGCGAATAGCCTAATGAGTCGGTCGTCCAATCCTCCAACCCAACTTGTTAACTTGTTCTTGGCCACCTATTGACTATGGCACATACCCACTTCAGGCTTAAATCTTCGTCGTCAGCCACTGCATAAAAAATTCATAAATTTCATAGCAAGTGTGTAGTGGATACCACGCTTCTCCGAAGAATGACGAATTAATTGTGGCATACTGGGTACCCAGAAAGCGTGCTCGTATAAGTTACCCAAAGTGTGTTCAGAAAAATTAGGGGATTCTAAAGCTTCGCCTTTAGTAGTTAAACGCGATAGTGACATCGTGTTCCTCGTGCGTAAAGGTATGCCGGGAAAGCAGTAAAATACGCTGTAATCAAGTAAAAACACGCGTTTACTAGCTGTTTGCTAATTTTATTTTCCAAGAGTGTGTGATACCTAGACAGAGCTGCTGTTCTTCGGCGTCTCTAGTTTTGCGCCTGCGCAAGCTGCTTGTACTTGGCGACTTGGTCGGTTGCCGGTAGGGTGGCTGCGTAGGTGGCAACCAAGGAGACATGGCCCTCGTTGATGAGCATGTCTAGGTAGGTGCGAAGAAGAGCGCTGCACGCTTCAGTGCCGGTATCGCAGCCAACTTGTCGCAGCAAGAGTACCATGTGAGCGAGAAACCGCATGGTAAGAAGCGGTGGTTCATTCACCTGAGTGGGTTGTCCAGTCGTGTATCTGTTCGACCATGGGAACAGCATCGTCCAGCACCACACCTCGCTGCGAGATGTGCGTGATCTTCTGGTCTCGTGCCTCACTACAACCCACAGCCGCCTGCAGTTCACGGAAAACGTCTTCAAAGGTTGCACAGTCAATGGGGTAGCCAGGCCGAAGCGGTTCCAGGCTTCTAGCTTGCTGCGTGGCAGTGCGGAGCTCCTGCTCCATGCACACGTCGACCACAGCGCGCATGCGAGTCCAGAGTTTTTCCTCCCATGCGGTACACGCGGGCAGCATTGCTTGTACGTTGCTACTCAACGCACCGTACACGGTGCGCTCGTACAGCGAACTCGTGGGATTCGACGCTGCTTCCCAGCAGGCGCGCTTCCAGAGGTCCCGGTTGAGGTTGCCTTCGGTGGGTTGAATAGAGTTGGCGCCCATGATGCTGCCGTTGTTCTGGTCGTGGTAGGGCCTCCATCCTTCGAGCACGGCGGCTAGCCAAAAATGACCATTGTCGGCAACCAGCTCCTGAGTCCACTGCAGTTGGCCTGCTCGCAGGTGGAAGAATACGCTGCGGAAGAGGTGACATTCGTCCTCACGGTCGAGGTCGTGTATCCGTAGCCGCTCCCTCGAGGGCGCATCCGAGTTCTGTTCAGTCACGTAAGACGACGGTGCGCTACCGACGTCGGCGCAGGACTGAAAATGGTGCAGGGTGTTTTTCCAGGCACAGCCTTCGTCAGCGAAATACTCGAGCCTGTCGTCGTCATCACTCATACCGCACTGAGGCACCGCGAATCTTTCTAACCAGTCGACCACTAGTTGCGCCTGCCGTGTGAACGAGTCTCTCGTCATGAGGGATTCCACGATTTCCCTATCGCTAGCTTCGCGAGATCCGTCGACGAAGATGGTGTTGTCGTCACCTTCTTCCATTAAATCGTTCGCCTTGAGACGGCCACACAGGAGGGCACCCGTGAGCTCCCAAGCGTTTAGCTCATCAGTGAGCAATGCTTGGCATGTCATGGCTTCCTTCCACACTGACTAACCCTTGCGAGATACTATTTTCTCGATCACTTCTCTCACTTTGGCCAATTAACTGTCGCACAGGCTAGCGTATTTCTTGATCACCAGGAGGACGTCCTTCTTACTACTATGCACCTTGTAGGCTTCATTGAAATCGGCTTGTATGCCGGCAGTAGCGACAAGTGCAGGGTGTTCGGTCACCAGCCCCGACGTGCTAAAAGCGGTCATGTCGGCGGCTTCGAAATTGGCACTTACATTGCCAGTGCGACACGAAGGCTTGCTGCCACCTGGCGTAATGAAGTCTGCCATGGATCCTCTCGTGAGGGCCTCGCAGTTGTGCTTGGGGTACTGATGCCAGGACGCCTAAATCCTGCTGCTGCCTTGGAAAAGACGCAGTCCGGTTGCTCAAACTATAAGCTTCGGGATCGTAGCTCGGTCACCAGCGTGGCGGCTAGTGCTCCAAAGCACGAGTGAGTCTTCGTCATCTTTTATTTCTTCTTTTCCGCACATGGCACACTCACATTGAAGGAAATTGGCTGAGAAGAAAGTGAATTGTTCGCATAATATTTATTATGTTATTATTAGGTCCAGTAGTTAGAAATCAGGGGACCCTAAAGCTTCGCCCTAAGGAGTTGAACGCGATAGCAACATCTTGTTCCTAGTGCGTATTGAAACACTAAGTGCATGAAACTTTTTGGAACTTGCTGTGCCCCAGCTACGTGGCCTTAAAGGAATAGGAACAGTAGCGTGTGCGCCTTTTTTAGTGGGGTACCGGCTTTCAACCACGGGTCATTGTGTTAATCACATAATCTGAGGCCCGTTGGCAATAGACGCTTGGACCGCGCATCATTACTGCAATATTTCATGTTGCATTGTGAGGCAAGTATACATGACGCGTGTGTTTGTGAAGCACGAAAGCTACTTTCACTGCGTTTCCAAGTAGAGGTTATTTTCACAGTTTCCACTAACAGAGACGTGGCCGTGTGGTAGAATACCCACTTGCCACGCAAACGACCCAGTTTTGATCGCCATTTGGACCCAAACAACGCTGGTTCAGTCCGCACTCTGGTGGATGATTTTTTATCCCCTATTTATTTTAATTGCATCGTTCTCAATTTTTTGGTCACGCATAAGACGATGCTTTTTCACTCCCAACCACCGACTCGGACGCCGACACCTACGCCAAAATATTTGTGAAACAAGCTCTTTAACGTTATCGCGTTAAATGCTCTGAAAGACCACTCTTGTAGCTTTCGCTGTGACTATGTTGCGCGTTCCGCGCAGGCCTGGCGTTTTTGTGTTCTCAATAGAACTTTATTAAAGGGCATAACAGACGATTACTTGGAATCTCATCACATTATTATATCAACGAACTCACTTAGCGGTTCTACCTACTTTCGTCAAGACGAAAAAGATAAGGACCCTCTTTCCTCGCCTGCGTCTCTATGTTTCCGGCAGAAGACGACAGCCGCTGGTAGCGAATCAGCAGCCTCTTTCTCTCGAGTTACTCAATTAAGAACTACGAAAGCTCACTCGGTCCATGAGTGCGCCGGCTCCACCTTTCACTGCGCTCGAAGCAGAGCAAGAACGAGAAAAACTCCGGCCAGCAGAAGCAGTGACAAGAACTATACACAAGAAAGCCGCAAAAAGCAGTCAACAAGCAAGAGTCCACTCAGTATCTGAGCGAGAGTTATTAAAGAAACAAGGTGAAGAAGCCTCCGAGCTTTCGGTATAGCAGCGAAGCTCGTGCGACCGCCCTAGATCGGCTTCGTTTGGTCCAACGCCTCTGTATTTTGGCTCCGTTTCTTCGGCGGCCGCGCTAGAGCCCCGGTCCTTATCTCGAGAGGAAAGCTCTCATAGACATTGAAGCTCACAGCTAAGAAAAAGAAGCTAAAACAGAAACGGAAGCGGGAAGAAGTTGCTGCGGGAAGAACGGCCCCTACCTGAGTGTGGTGGCCGAGGGCGAGCATCCGTGGCCTGCTGGTGCTGCTCGGCGGCCATTTGGCCGCGCGCTCTCGCAGCTCTCGTGACGGTCATCACTCACGAGGGCCCCCCTCGAGCCCCGGGCCACCGTTGTCGAGCGAGCCGTAATCCTGGGACGTGACCTTCCCTGGCAGCCGGGCTCTTTCAGAGGCAGGCCGTTTGTCCGCGGCCAAGACCTGGCTGCTGCACACGAACAACGGAGCAACACCCGCACGCTACGCGCGTGTCGCGGGGATCCCGCGGTGATCTCTCACTCTCTCTCACGTTCTCTCTTAAGTTTCACTTCGTGCACAGGCTTCGTAGCGAGTCCCGGAACCTCCCTTATACTTCCCGTTCCTCTACCCTAGAGCACTTGACGATTCTCTTTAAATCTTCTCTAGTGCTCAACGCCACGTTTTGTTGTCGTGGAACCAGCAGGCGCCTGTGTTCGATGTGTTCGAAAGATTTACTGTGCTCCTGGAGCGCCCCATGTCAACCTGTTTTTTTTTTATGCTGGCTACAAATAGAAAGAGTTTAGTGCACTCGAAGAAGCATGTCCATGAATATACGGACCACACGATGCGTACAGCACAGGAGGACACCCACACTGAGCCTGCAGAACACATGTTAGCTAGTATTTTCGGCTAATGTGTAATGCCATAGAACCACCTTGCTAACTGCTTGGAATATCGCGCACGTAATTTAAGAGAATTAGTGTCATTAGTGCCTTTCGTATTGTACCTACGAAGCGTCCTGCACTGTTTCCCCGCGGATGTGTTTTGACATGATGCGAAGAGGGAATTGTTATCCAACTTTATGTTATCCCCCCTCTAAAACTGTGATTTCCCCTCTAAAAATATCTTCTTAAATATAATATACTGGAGCTCTCTCTATCTCTCTCTCTCTGAAACACACACACACACACACACACACACACACACACACACACACACACACACACACACACACACACACACACACACACACACACACACACACACACACACACACACACACACACATAAACCCATCGCGGACGCTGATATCTCCAAATGATTTCCTACTTATCTCTTCCAAATCTCCCTACTCTCCCCATCTCCAACATCATATCTCTTCGATCCCGGCTGCGGCGGAGGCGTTTTGTTAGAGGTGAAATGCTGGAGGCCAATGCACTGTGCAATGTCAGCGCACGTTAAATACCAGGGGATCAAAACTCTAGTAGAGTGCGTCCCACGTCAGGCCAATCAGCACTCGTGTTCTGGGAGCGAAGCAGCAGATGAAGGAGAGGACGGAGACAGCGCCTGCTGGTTGATGATGAAGATGGTCGTTTTCAAGTCATGCCAGGTGGTTTAATGAAAAGCTTTACGGCTGATATGTAATAAGATGAATGGTTTTCGATGTATGTTTTGTCTTCCTAAACAAGTTGTGTCTCGCGCATTCCTAATATAATTACGGCAGCTAACGCGGCACTATTTTTAGCACTGCTCTACTGTAAGTGTGCTCCGTAGCATGATGAGAAATTGTGCAACAGAGCCCACCTGCTGGTACAGTGGGAGGTCGAGAGCCAAATGGCGTTTACTGAAACAGTAACAATTTTAAATCCGTAAAAAAGCGCTAAAAAAGCATGAAACCGCAAAGCCAGTGCACATTATTATTCCTGCTTTCTCGCTATATATTCATAAAGTATCAAATTCAAAGTTTGGCCTATTATAAAGCTAAAGATCACTTTATTCATTGCATCTGACCAGCTTATTTGGTAATCCGGTGTGAAAAAAAAGTTACAACGAACGGTGGATTGCAAAAAAAAAAAAAAGAAAAGTGGGGAGATCGGTGCTCACCTTTTTTTTCTCCAAGTCTGCGTGCACTGCTTTTTTCACATTTTTTTTATTGTTAAAACTGAGCTTCGTTGTCGATCTTAGCCGTTGTATAGGGATGACGTATTAAGCTGAGAAGATTCGCAGGTTCATGAAATTATGTCAAGCACCCCAAAAATAGCAGTTCACCTAGTTACTTTATTCACGAATATTACCATAGAAAATAAAATTACGGCAGGTTCGTACTAGTTGTGTCAAGCCTAAAGAAACAGCGAATCTGGGCAGCCTGTGTTATTTCTCTTTATTTTTTCTCTTAGTTTCCTTCTTCTTTCGTTTCTTCCTCTTTCTCACTGCTTTTATATATCTTTTTGTCTCTGTTCATTCATATTTCTTTTTCTGTATTTGTGCATTTATTCGTCTTTTTCTCGCTCTGTCTTTTTTTCTTTCTCTTATTCTCGTTTCCACTTTTAAAATAATTTTCTGACTATTTCTTCACATCTCTTTTTTCCTTTATATTTCTGACTACCTTTTTCTCTCCCTTCATCTATTTATTTCTCTATCTCTCTCTGTATTCATTTTCTCACCCATCTGAGTAATTACACCCCGCGCTGGACGAATCGGCGCACGTGTTTTTGGAGTGAAGCAGAAGAGAAAGAAAACTAAATGCGCTCGTGCCGGCCGAGTCATCGTGTTCTTGATGGTGATACTTTTTGTACACGACCCAGCGAAGTTTCACCAAACATAAACAACTCCTCTAGTTAAAACAGACACGCGCTGGGAAAAAATACGCACAGAATTTCCATAAAAATAAGATTGTTTGTTCAGTTTTAAACTTTTAGAACTTGACTTTAAGCCCTCGCAAAACACAAAAAATAAAGCGAAAACGTTATGCTGCACAGCGACTCATGCGTGGGGTGCAGCTGCGAGTCGTACTGCCAGAGGTTCTATTTTCAGCCGCGTCGGTTGCACTGCACTGGAAATGAACAGCAAAAGCAATCTTGTATCGTGTCTTCGGTGCATGAAAACTAACCTTATGTGGTCAAACAGATCTGAGCAGAAAACTAAGGCGTCTGCTGTGTAGCTTTAAGCCATTAAACTTTATAGTCTGCGTATGTGTTCAAAGTCGTTATTGCGACCTCGCATGTAAAGAAAGTTAAACGAATGCATGTGGGCGATTGCGATAGAGCTAACTGCGGGGTAATTATGAGCTTACTTGTGATGTCA